TCCTCACATCAGAAACTATGGATATTTATTGCTCATGCTACATTAAAAATTCAATTCTTTGAAGCTTAGCTACTGTTTAAAAGCATGCATCCTTTAAACAGGTAGTAAGCTTCACTGGTCACCTAGTGTAAATGTGTTTATTAGCAGGCTGTGGTAGACTGACTCCAAAGATGGCTGCCAATAATACTTCTCTTCCCATCTCTTTTGCCTCCTTTTGAGCTAAACTGGTCTCGTGGCTTGCTTTGACCAACAGAAGGTAGTGGAAATAAAACTGTCTGTTCTAGGCCTAGCCCTTAGAATACCTGGCAGCTTCTGCTTTCATTCTCTTAAAATCCAGCCACCATGTAAAAAAGTTCAGGAGAGATTACTGAAGATGGAGAGACCATGCAGAGAGAGAGAGAGAAGCCACATGGAGGAAAACGAAGACTTCCTACTTGACAGACAGCATTAAGGCCTCTGATATGTGAGTAAGGTCATTTTAGAATTTCCAGGCCCAACTCAGTTCCCAGCTGACTGCGGCTACATGGATGTCTAGGCTATACCACATAAACATAAGAACCACCCAGCTAAACAACAAATCAAAAGAAATAATAAACCATTGTTATTTTAAGTCACTAAGTTTTGGGTAGCTTATTGCACAACAATAGATAAACAGAAATAGGTACCTGGAAGCAGGGTGTTGTCATAACAAAAACCTAAAACATATGGCACTGGCTTTGGGACCTGAAGGAGGCTAAAAAAGGCAGGGAGGGAACTGTTAACAGAAGTTGAATGAGCAGTGTGGAAATTCTTATTAGAAACTTGAGTACAGATAATCTGCTTTATTTAGTGGTAAAGTTTTCGGCAACACTGTCACCTGTAGCAGCTGGTGGAAGATAGAGACGACACCTAATAAATTTATGGATTTGGCTAAGGAAGTTTCCAGGGAGAATGCTAAAAGTGCCAACTGGCTTCTTTTAACTGTGTATGATAAAGAATGAGAAGAGAGAGCTAACTTAATAATTAACTGTTCAGATTTTAAGCAGCATATAGAGGAAATACTTCTAACTTAGGACTTCCTGAGTTAGAAAATAAAACTGTTTCTCATTCCTACCCTCTCCAACTGGCAAAAGATTCTCAAAGTAAGGGACAGACCAAGCTAAAGGTTAAACCTAGGATGCT